AATGACTAAAATACTTAAGATGAAAATCACCTTGAGCCAGGTGAAGTGGCACACAACTGTAAACCTTGCTACTGGGGAAGCTGAGGCTGGCAGATCTCTTGAGAGGGAGAGAAAGAAGAAAGGAGGAATGAAGGGAGAGAGAGAGAGGGAGAAGTGAGGGAGAAAAGAAAGAAGGGAAGGAAGAAAGGAGGGAAGGGAGGGAGGAAGAAAGGAAAGAAGAGATGAAGGAAGGAGGGAAGGAAGGGAGGGAGAAAGGAAAGAAGAGAGGGAGGAGGGAGGGAGGAAAGGAAGAAACAAAGAAAAAGCTTAAGGTGGGTCAAGTTAATAAAGCAAAGATGATAATTCTGCGTTATTTAGTAATTTTCTCAAGGAGCACAGGAGCATGGTTTGAGAGCTGGAAAGAGACCTCAGGGATCATCCCATCCAACTTCATTTCAAAGGTGAGGAAACTGAAGTCCACTGAGGGTAAGAGACTTGCCAGTTACTAAGGAAATAAACAGCAGGGCTGGGAATAAAGTCAGGCCACAGGACACTAAACTTAACGCTTCTTTCATTATTCTATACCAAACAACATACTATTTTGTCATCTGTATAGTGTCTTGTACGTTGTCAACATAGGGTAAACATTAAACGTGAATTATTTTGATAGTGAAGAATGCTATTAACCTATCTGCCTTAAGGATTATGGCATAAGTAAAATAAATTATCACTTTAGGTAAATTTTGTATATAATTAAAGTCTGTTAAAAGTAGAATAGAGATTACACAATCATTCTAAATACTTGACTTTTGTTGAATTAACCAGGTCTAACAATAAGAGTATTGTTATTGAAAAGCATTTACTATGTACTTATACTGAAAGACATTTTCATAGTTGCTAGAAATGTGTGTCTATACATATATACGTACACATATACATATACATTCACACACACAAATATCTGTGATTTCATTGCAGCAACTGGGCATTGTCACCTACTCAAATGCCCTATGCTCCTATTAATGTTTTCTCACCTATTCAGATGTAAGGTCCTTGAGGGTAGGAATTTTCTCTTGTATTTATGTCTCTGGGGGCAGTTAGAAGGCAGTGTGGTTACAATGCTGGGCCTGGAGTCAGCAAGATTCATTTTCCTGAGTTCAAATCCAAGCCCAGACACTAGCTCTGTGCAACTTAACCCTGTTTGCCTCAGTTTCTTCATCTGTAAAATGAGCTGGAGAAGGAATGGCAAACCACTCCAGTATCTCTGCCAGGAAAACTCCAAATGGGGTCACAGAGTCAGACACAACTGAAATGACTGGACAACAAGAACATATATCCCCAGCATTTAGCATAATGGTTGGCATATAGTAAATGCTCAACAAGTATTTTTTCATTCATTGCATTCATTTAGGGAGTTGCCAGTGTAGAAATTCCCTGTACTAAAGGAGATCAGTGACTCTCTGCAATTTCTAATCTGAAAGCGTTGTTTAGGAGCACTGAGAGGCTGCCTTTATGTCAGAGACAGGACTCAAACCCAGGTTTTCTACCTCCAGGATACTCTCTCTCACCTATGTAAACTTAATGCAATATCACTCAAAATATTAGTGGAATACTTCCTGGTATTGGATAAAACAACAAAATTTAATTAGCAGGTCAAAAGGTCAAGTATATCATGGGAAGCAATGAAAAGAAAAGAAAAAACAACTGATGATGTTTACAATACCAGATCTCAGATTATACATGAATGCAGTAAAAAATCAAAATTATCTGGTGTTGAATAAAGAATAGAAAAACAAATCAAAGGAACAGATTCACAATCTAGAATACAATATATGCATACAGTGGACTAGTGCTTTATAAACCAAAGATCACTGAAACATTGGGAAAGGATTTAGTTATTCAATAAAAACTGCTGAAAAAATTGGATGGTAGTTTCATGAAGATGAGAATTGGCTCTAACCCACACTATGCTACACAATATATTTCAAATAAATTCATGATTTAAATATTTTGCAAATCATAAAAAATGGAATATTATCTCTCATACAGTGGAAAGAGGGAATATTCTTAATCACTCATAAGGTAAAAGAAATTACAAAAGAAAAAAATCGATGAATTTGATCATATAAATATAAATTATTTGTTCAACCAAAAATACATCTAGAGTAAGAAGTAAAGAAACAGATTGGTTAAAAAATATCTTTGCAGTAAAAGTTATGATAAAAGTGTGCTATTCAAATTTTATAGGAAAATTTGTAAAAAATAAGACTAATATGTCAAAGGATATGAATAGGCAGTTCTTAAAAGAAGAAAGACAAGTTACTAATAACTATACAACAAAGAAATACACATTAAAAGAACCCCAAGATTACATCTCTCCCTTTATACCTAACATTGTACACATCAAATTGGCAAAGATAGTAAAAGAGGATAAAATTCAAAACAAGCCTCTGGAAAAACATTGCTCATGAAGCTCGGAATTTCTTCCATCTTTTTGGAAAGCAATATGGAATTATACAGTAAGAGTTAGAAAAAATGTCCATACCCTCTTACCCAGTAATCCCACACTAGGATTATGTCCTAAACAGGATACAGACAGGAAAAAGAGACTGATCTGTTAAAAAAAAATTCCTTTCAGCGATATTTGTAATGACAAGACTGCAAACTATGCCTCCAATGATGGGGGAATGGCTACACTGATTATAGCATATGAATTTAATAGATGTTTGTGGTTCATAAGAAATAACAAATATGACTTATTCAAAGAATTATGGGAAGATGTATGAAGTGATCAAGACTGAATAAAACAGAGACAAAAGGATAATTTACATATTGACCACATTTAACAAAGACAACAGTAACAGCAACCAAACCATTTAAGTACACAAGCAAAAAGGGTTGCAAAAGGGGTTACAGAAACCGAAATAGATGATTTTGTTACTCTCATTAAAGTTAAGCTATACATCTTTTCATTTGTTTAACAAACTGTAAATAAGAGATGATCTTGTTACATGTACCATCATTCAAAATAACTTTTTTTGGTTTTGTTTTCTTCTTTTCTTTTCCTTTTTCTTGTTTATATAGTTGAGCACTTGTACTTTGATGTTGGGAGTTAAAACTAAAATTCATTTTGAGGAGAAAAAAAGAGAAATAAAAGCTATTATTATTATTAGGTATCAGTCTGTGCCAGAGTGTAGGGCACTCTGGTGACTTTTTCCCCTAGGGTTTTGCCACTGTCTTATTTGCAGGTTCATCTTTGCCCCTCACTCAAAGAAGAAGAGTGACTCCTTGCTTATTGACTTACATGTTAATATACCCCTAAAGAGAGAGTTTTCTTGACTCAAATGACCATCATTAGCACCTTCAGTGCCATCAGTCTGGTGGATATTAACTTTCCTCTAGATTCAAAGAATGGTTGAGAGATAGTCAGGGGAACCTCCACAGTCGATTCTGATAAGGTAGGATCCCACAAAGTGAAAGAGGAACATGGCCCACCAATTTTTCCTACACCTATAACAGATTCTAATTTATATTTCAATTATTTGTGGATATTTCTTATTTTCCTAGGATACTTATGCTGCTCTTTGTTCCAGGATACTTCCAGGAAGGGTCCCTATCCCCAAGTTCTTTGGGTGGGCTCCCTTTTGAGGATTTGCACAGGAGGACATAAAAAGAGTGTGATAGGATGAAGGGTATGGATGGGTTGTGATCTGAACCACTGGAAAGAAGAGCCATTTGCCTAAGATCACAGATCCAACTGCAGAAGGCTATTACCATCTTGTGGCTCAGTGCCCAGCACATAGTTAGGTCTTTAATGCTTGCTGAATTGAACTATCTTCTCAACAATATGTTTCCATATAGTTTCTTGTATTCTCCTTAGGAAAGGCTTTTAAACCCCTTCCCTCTAAGCTGAGTTAAAGAAAGGAAGACAGGAAGCCAGGGCATCACAGCTGAAAGGGAATGTTAGAACTGGGAGCAAGGGATCTTAGAAATGCAGAACCATAGAATGTGAAAGCATTTAGAGACCTTAGAACAAAGAAATATCTCAGGCCAGAGTTGTTTAGAACATAGAGTGTCAGACCTGGAAGGGGTCTTATTATCATGGGACGTAAATTATCTGAGTTGGAATGGGCCTTAGAGACCCTCTAGTCTAGGGATCCTTAACCATTTTTGTTTTCATAAACAGTCTGTTTTAACTGACAGTGTAAAGAAGCCTGTGAATCTTCCTCAGAATAGTGTTTTTTAAAGAATTGAAGGAATTGTTGAATTTCAATTAGAAGTTAGTGAAAGTAAAGATGTTCCCCCCCCCCCCCCCCCGTCCAAGTTCACAGACCCCCTGAATTCTATGTCTGTGGACTCTAGGTTAAGAACTCTTGCTCTAGTCTAGCCCCTTCATTTTAGAGAGGCCCAGAAAAAAGAAGTGACTTATGCAAGACATTAAAATTCCCTCCAGGATCTGATGAAGGTTTGTGGTTTGGGGAGAGAACACCAAGGGAAAGACTTCTGGGTCCAATGACTTTGCCTTCTGTGGATGGAATCCCAAGGCCTCCCCCGAGGCAGAATCTTGGGCTGGAGGGATCTTGGAAGTGACCTTAAACATTCTCCTAGCCTCGTCGGGTTCCGGGAAGGAAAAGCCCAGTTAGGGGCTGGGGATGGGGGGGAGTGTGGGGGTGGGGGAGAAGTTGTTAAGGAGAAGGCTAATCATCTTTTCCTCCCCTTTAGCCAGGGCGAGGGAGTCTTTCGATGGGTGGGAGGAACGTCCCGACTCTCCTGGGTCCCCTCACCCTCCCCGCAGGGCGGGGCTGCAAGCGACCTAAAGGGAGGAGGGGGGCACAGCTGGAGCTGAGAAGGCGCAGGAGGAGCTCGAGGCTCGAGGCTCGCCAAGTTGGGGACTAGAGGGAGGAGAGGGCCTAGAGTGCAGAGGAGGGAAGGAGAGAAGGAAGGGGTGGAGGCGGGACAGAAGCAAGGAGCAGGGGCAGCGCGGGGCAGGCTGGCCAGACCGCGCGCTGGGGAGCGTCCCCATGGCTCTGGCTCGCTGCAGGGCGGCGCTGGCCCGGCTAGTGCTGCTGCCGCTCGCCCTGGCCCCGCTGCGGGCCGGCCCGGGGAGCGCGCATCCTCAGTGCCTGGACTTCAAGCCCCCATTCCGGCCGCCGCACCCGCTGCTCTTCTGCGAGCAGTACTCGGCCTTCGGCTGCTGCGATGCTGAGCAGGACGCCGAGCTGAGCCGCCGTTACTGGGCCGTGACTCGCCGCCTGGAGCCCGACACCTTTGCAGTCTGCGCCGCCTACGTGCGCGACCTGTTGTGCCAGGTGAGGGGCCGCCGTCAGAGCTTCGGGATCAGAGCCAGACGTCCACCCGGACCCTGTCTCTCCTTCCCCTCTGCAGTCCCCGGGCTGATGGCCCGGGCTGTGCGGAGGGAGGTCGCAGAGGGTGTGGTCGTGCTCCTGCAGCCTTGGGAGGGTGGCTAAGGGGATTGGGACAAATGAGAAGGTAAGCATCAGGGAGAGGGTTAATAGAGAGGCTAAGGGATACTGGCCAGTCTGGGTCTCTGGAAGAGATACTTAGGATAATCGGAGCTGGAAGGGCCCCCAGACTTCATTTATTTCTATTCTCTCATTTTACAGTAGGGAAAACTGAGGCCCAGAGAGGGATCCCGAAGGTATAACCTGGTGCTTTGGGAAACACAAAATTTGCAATTTTAGTTGAAAGGGACATCTAGCAGAGTTGGCACTAGAATCCAGGAATTTTGAGTGCAAATTCAACAATAAAACATTTCACTTCTGCAAAAATTTTAGCAACTGACTACTATGTGCAGAGCAAATTCAATGCTCTTTCCATTAGGTCACAACTGCCTCACTGTGTGAACTTAGAGCAAGTTCCTTACTTTTTCCCCCTGAATTTTAATTTCCTAATCTATGGAATAAAGAGGTTAGACAAGATGGTCTCTAAAGTTTTTTTTTTCCTTGCTTTGACAATTCCTCTTTCTTTGATTCTAAGAGTACTTTTTTTCTTCTCAACTCTAACAGTTCTGAGTTCAGTGGTTCTAAGGTGGGGCAGAGAGAGGATTGGGTTCTTTAGTATTCAATTGGAAGGTTCAATTAAATCCAATAAACGTTTCTTTTTAAAGCACCTACTATATGCAGGGCACTGTGCTAGGCACTAGGCATGCAGAGTCACAGCTGAAACAGCCCTTACCATCACGGAGCATCCATTCTACCAGGGCATACAACATGTACACAAAGAGGGATAATACAAGGAAAACTGAGGAAAGAGAGCACTGTCTAGGAGGGGCATCAGAAAAGGCTTCATGTGGCATCTTCCCACAGTTGAAATAAGACAGGGGTTTTGAAAAATAGATACAAGTAAGAAGCACATTCCAGGAATGGGGGAAATGGCTTATGTGAAAGCAGGGAGGTTGGAGATAGAGTTCAGAGAGAAAAATTAGTAGTTCATTTTGGCTGGAAGATAGAATTCATGAAATAGAGTAGTATGAATAAGGCCAGAAAAGTGGGGGAGAGCCAAGTTGTGCAAGGCCTTAAATGCCAGGCCAAGTTTATGTTTTATCCTATAGGCATTGGACAGCCACTGAAGGATATTGGGGGGGGGGGGGAATAATGTGCCTAGCACATAAGTGCTTAATAGATGTTTATTGACTAATAAAATTATTAGGAACATTATTTTGTTAGCTGTGCGAAGGATGGATTGGGAGTTAGTGATAATGGACTGAGCTAGGGGAGGTAGGGTGGTGATTGTGAAAGTGAAGAAAAAGGGAAGGATCTGAGGGATTTTGGAGGTAGAATTAAAAAGATGTCACCAGTGATTGGATATGGGGATTGAGAGAGAAAAGAGGGATGAAGGTGACTCCAAGTTTGTGAACCTCAATAACAATAAAGATGCTGCCTTCCAAAGAAACAGGAAAATTTGGAGGAGGGATGGGTTTTTTTGGGAAAAGATAAGGTTCTATTTTAAATACATTGAGTTTGAGAAGACTGTGGGATATCCAGGAGGAGATAGCCAACAATAGATGACTGACATTTGAGAGAGATTAGGGCTGGATATATACATTTTTCATCTTCTGTATAGAGGTTATGCTTGAAACTATGGGAACTGAAAAGATTTCCACAAGAGGGAAAGAAGAGAAGAGAACTAAGTCTAAGACAGAGACCTGGAGAATTCCATGCTGAGGAGACAGGAGATGGATGAATGGAAGCCTTCCTCAACCCCTCAATTCTATTGTCTTCCCTCAGCTAATTACTTCCTATTTATCCTGTATATAGCTTGCTTTCAATAGTTTTGTTTGCATGTTGTCTCCCCTATTAGACTGTAAACTCCTCAAGACCAGGGACTGTTTTTTCTCCTCTTTTTGTATCCCCAGTGCTTAGCTCAGTGTCTGGCACATAGTAGGCACTTAATGTTTATGGTTGATTGATTAATGACCCAACAAAGAAGCCTGAGAAGTTATAGTCAGGCAGGTAGGAGAGCTTAGACAAAATAGTATAATAGAAGGAAAGAGAGGAAAGACTGTCAAGAGGAGGTGTTTATTCTTCAGAGGTTAAGTAGGATGAGGACTGATAAAAGGCTATGTGATTAAGCAGCTAAGAAACCATTGAAATCTAGGAGAGAGCAGTTTCTGTTGGGTGGTGAAATTCGGAACCATATTGCAACGGATTGAGGAGTGATGAGAAAGTGGAGGGAGGCAATCAATGTAGAGTTTCTTTCTATGAGTTTGATGTGAAAGGGTTGATAACTTGAGTGGATGGCAGAGTTAATTGCAGCTTTTTAAAAATTTTATCCTGAATTTAAGAAATAAAACAAGCATTTCCATAGCATAGTAGAATAAAAAAAGGTGATTGTGCATGAAACAATTGCAGCTTTTTAAAGATTAAGATAAATCTAAGCCTGTTTGTGGGCAATGGGGAAGGAGCCAAGAGATGGAGAGAGTTTAAAGATGAGGGAGGAAATCATGGATCAAGTTTCTGGGGGAGGTGGGAGGGAATGAGAAGGAGGGAGAGGTCAGGTCTTAGGAGAAAGGTTCAGGGACTGGAGTAAAAGAAGAGTGGCTCCCTGAAGAGTTGAGGAGGCTGTGAGGCTTGGAATCCAGTAGAAAAGGGAAGTCATGGTGGACAGCTTTTATTTCCCCTTTAAAGAAAGAGGACATCTGTGGAGAGATGAGTAAGTGGGAAGCAATTGGACCCTTGAGGTGCTTTGGAACAGCTACTAAGTCCTTTCACATAATAGATGCTTAGTAAATGCTGTTGAATTGAAATTGTAGAAATGTTTGGGTTTTTTCCCCCTTGTGCAGCAATTAAGGTCCAGTTGAGATTTTTTAAAAATTTTATTTATTTATTTTTAGTTTTCAACATTCACTTCCATGAGATTTTGAGTTCTTAATTTTCTCCTCATCTCTCCCCATGCAGAGACAGTGTGCAATCTGATATAAGTTCTGCATATATATTCATATTGAACCTATTTTCACATTAGTCATGTTGTAAAGAATAATTAGAACCAATGGGAGAAACCACAAGAAAGAACAAACAAAAAAAGAGTTCAAATAATGTTCTTCCATCTGCCTTGAGACTCCACAGTTCTTTTTCTGGATGTGGACAGTATTTTTCACCATGAGTCCTTTGGAGTTGTCTTGGATGAGATATTTTTTTTAATCTGAACCTGTGATTTCATTGATGTGGTATAGAGAATGTCCAGTACAGAAACTCTTTCTTCTGATACAGATTGACAACTCCTCAGTCACTTACAGTCTTAGGGGGTTGCCACAGGGTCACTGAGATATTAAATAGCTTGTCCATGGTGACACAGCTAGTCTGTTAGAGAGAGGACTTGAACCCAGGTCTTCCTGATGCAAAGCTTTGCCTCTATCCACCCAGCCAGGCTGCCTTTTCACTTGAGATTAATTAAACTAAATTTGTAATGATCCCAATTGGCATGGTACTACGACCTCCTCCAGTGCTCTTCAGCAGCATTGGAGACAACAGAGAAGAATGTGTGTGGTGGAGGATGTGATTCAGGGTTGAGGATTGGCAGAAAATGAACAGCAATAGGACAGTGGGGTTGGGGGTGGTGGATATTGTATGTAGTTGTTCTGATCAGCTGTAGGGTCAAAACTATAGAGGAAAGTGAGCTAGAGACAGGGGTGACAGTCTGGGTAAACTGGGAGGGATGCTGAGACTGGTGGTCATGGTGAAGATGAATAGGTTTAAGAGGAGTGAGTCAAAGGGAGAAACAGAAGAACTGGAGATTTTGATTAGACAGAAGAATTTCAAAGTTCAAAATAATGGAGCTTGGAGGTTGGGGTGGTGGGGTGGGGCAGGGTGACGGGAAGATGTAATTGGAGAACTGACCTAGACCAAAGGCTGTGCCTCCAAAGCCTTAAGAGTCTTCTGAAACATGATTCATAGGTCAACCTGGGTTGGAGCTGGACCCCAAGGACTGCCTTGGAATCAGGGGAGGAAGGCAGAGCTTCAGTGTAAGCCAGATGTTCTTCCCAGTGGTTATTATAGCCTGTTTGAGAGAATTTTAGAATTTATAAACTTAGAGTTGGAAAGGACCTTTAAGATAATTTAGCGACACTCCTACATGTTGTAGATGGGGAAATCAAGGCCAAGGGAAATTAAATAATGTCTAAAATCATAAGGCTGGTTAGTGGTGGAGCTGAGTTTAGAGCTTCAGTCTAGACTCCTATTTCAGTGATATTTTTAAGAAGTCTTACTGACTCTTAAAAAAAAACCCATGATGGTTTTTATCGATTTTTTTTGTTTTTCACATCATCATCATTTCCCTCAGTATCCCTTCTTTTCCCACTCCTAAAGAGCCATCGTATTTAACAAGTAGTATTTTTAATGACAAAAAAAATAAAAAGAGGAAAGATGAGCACAACCGATCAATACTTTGAAAAAGTTCAAAACCACATTAAATGTGCAACACCTGTGGACCTCCCACCTCCTTGGTGGATGGTTTGAGAGTGTTCTCTCCATCCTACTGCCTTTTGATTAGGAAGGAGTATATGTGTAACTCTGTGGATGTGTGAATTCTGGACTGGCAACTAAAAAATATTTGTCATGTATTTTAACCTTTATTTCCTAATGCTGCTGCTGCTTCTTAAAGGCTACTGTGAGCCTAAGTACACCCTCCTCTGAAATGCAGCGTGGAGCTGGTGCTGATCACCTAGTTAGTACCAGGGTTGCTTAGCCCCAGCAGGATCCTGGAGGCCGGGAAATTCACCTGCCCTCACCAGTAGGGGGTGGTAGCTAGGCTTATAAGATCACAGATAGAGAGCTATATCTTAAAGGACTCC